TGCAAGAAATGCAATGCATGATGTATGCAATTGGAGGCATTGATCCAGAAAAGTGTTCATTATTATAAACAACCCTTGTTCAGACAAAAATGTCTTATCTTTTAAGAGACATAAAAACAGATTAAAGGTACATTCGGACTAAATCCTCTAGACCCCGAACAGCTTCCAGTAGGTTTACAAGTCTTCTGCCTTCATCTGTCACTGGTTGAATGCCTTGTCGAACCACACCAGCTTCCCTTGCTAGGCCGTGAAGATGATGGGCTGCTTTTTGCACTTGATCCAGGAAATCTCGTATGGTTGCGTCTCGGGCCCTCACCCTTCGCTGTGCTTGTTCCCAACGGAAACGCCATTGTAATCCTCCGTCGAAAGGCACTATCTGAAGCTCGTTTGCTTGCCTCTTGAACCCATCTACAATAGCTTCTAACTCAGCTATTGTCCTGCCATCCTTCTCATGTTGTTTTTCTAAGTCAGCTATCCGAACTCTCAAGCGTTGGTTCTGATATTGACTATCTGCCAAGCGTCTTTGGGCAGTCTTCATCTGTTCCTTCCAAGCTTTCTCATCAGGCCCCTCAAACTTCCTTTTCAGGCTATGAGCTTCGTCTTTCCAGTATTCAGAGGTTACCTTCAACTTGGAGTTATCTTTGACCTTATCTTATCTTGATACCCCTTTCTCAAGTCTTCGAGCTCAAAACGGACTCTTTTTTGTTCTTTTTCCAATTTTTCTGCCCGATCTTTCTGAGAGTCAGCATCAAGCTTCCACTGATAACGTTCAGCTTCAAGTTCCTTTATCCTTTGCTTCAGCTCATTATTCACGGCTTCAAACTCGGTCTTGGCTATTTCGAGTTCAGAAGGGACATGCATGAGATGTTCTTCCATGGTCCGGGTGTCATCACAGTCTGGCACAGAGATGTTGTCATTCTTTCTTAATCTTCGCCACTCCACATAATATGGAGTGAGCATGCTTCTGGCAGCCACAACATCCATCCGGAATACTTTCCTCCACGAATCGGCTGCTTCTTTGATCATCTTCTTATAGCTGTCGCCGTGATACTCAAACTCTGACCTAGCCAATCCGCACGTTGCTGGGACAAACTGACGTGCTCCATATTGTCTAAGTACTAATAGCGGAGCATACCCGACTGCTCCCCAAAGTCCAAGTAAGGTCACAGTGTCGGAGTCACCACATCGAAAAAGAATATCACTGAGGAATAACCAAGGGGCTCTCCAGACAATATCTCGGTCTTGAAGATGCGTAAAGACCTTTATCCATTTTTCTTTCGAAGCGCCTTCATGCCATTTTAAGGTAATAAATTCACCTAGAGGTGAATAGGTGGTGCTGAAACGACGGTAGGCAACCCCGTTAGTCTTCCAGAAGTGGCTGTGAATCCAGACCTGAAGGAGCTGAATGCACCCGGTGAATCTTCCTCCGCCAGTTATTCGGTAATGGTTGAGCGATCGAAAGGTCTCGGCCAAGATGGCTGGTGCTGGGTTAACACGTTTAGAAAGTTGCTCAAATAGTTCCACCACGGCAGCGTCAATGCACCCCAAAGCCTTCGGAAATATGATCAAACCGTACAGACCCAGTGCAAAAAGGTCTATAGTCTTCCACTCATCAGGGTGGTTTTTCATTAGTTGCTTTATATTTGTGCCGGAGTCGATCAGTCACCCACTTTTCATCAACCCCTGCAATCTTGGCCAGTCCGTTCTTGAAGGGCTGACTCTTGATATGTTTAATATATGCCCTCTCTAGTTTGATGCTTTCGCAGTGCAGTAGAGTAGTATACTCTTCGATAGTAGGCACCATGTCTTCCTGGTTAAAGGTGAAACAACTATATCTCGGGTTCCAGAATTGAATTAATGCTCGGAGTAAGGGCTCATCAGTCTTGACATGGAGCAAGAGGGCGATATCACCATATCGTTGGCTGAACTTCTGCTTTCTGTCATTCTTCCAACTGTCCCAAATGTTTCGCAGCTCTTGGACATTATTCTGTTTCAGGCTGACAGCAGCATAACTAACCAGTTCTGACACATAGTTTCCCTGAAGACTGTCTCCCTTCTCTTTCTGAGCCTTCTCGGACCATAGTCGTGCCTCAGCGTTTTCAATCTCTTGTATTACAACACCTTTGTCCATTAATTCGAATTATTTTGTGTATAACAAACGCTTTTTAGGGATCAATAGCCTCTTGTAATGATGCAAATGCTAGAAAACAAACACAAAGGCAAAAACGTTAGTAAAATAAAATTACAAATAAAAAAATGACGGAAGGAAAAAGCGCAAAAAAACATGGTTAGGGTAAAAATATCCTAAGTTTTGGAACGTGGTTTTGGGGTAGGCTCTAATTTTTCATGGTCTCCCGGTTTAGGTTTTAAAAAACGGTACCCGAGTTCTCCTTGTCGGTGCCCCCTTGGGCTTGCCAGACCCTTAGTCCTAAACCCATCACAGGCTTGTGTGGACTAAGTTAAACTCGAGGGGACACATTCCCTTATGCCCGCACGGTGAATAAATTCACACGAAGACATAAGGTATATGAATCCCGAAGGCTCCTTGCTAGGCCCACACGGTGAATAAATTCACACGAAGGCGTCGCTTTCACCCCCACTTAAAAGGAATTGGAGCTCGGGTATAGAGCCTTAGATGAAAAAAAAACTTTGAAGGCTGAAATCATGAGAAAACGATTAGTCCAACTATTTACTCGAAAATATAATCAAAAGTAAGTAAAAAGGATCAGAATATTACCTTAAAATTTAAACTTACCCTTTTCGTTAAAAAGACAATTGGAAATTACCTTAGCCTGACTCACTTACCTGTGTCCCCAGCGGAGTCGCCAAGCTGTCGCAACCGTCTTTCGGTTGAGCCCGGAATTGGGCTTCGACTTGGATTAATGATTGGGTTAGAGTCGCCACCGATCATTTATTTAAAGATAAATGGGTTGATCGAATACCCTATTTCTTACCTGATCTGCATCTTACCAGAAATATGTCGGGCTCGGGAGTCGGTTACGGTCAAGGAAGGATTAGCACCCTTGAACCGCCCTTTCGGTACTACGTAATTTCCAGTTGTCTTTATCAAGAAAGTTGTAATTTTAAATTAAAAGGTAAGATTTGATCCAAACTACTTACCTTTGATAGTTTACGGAAATACCCTTAAAAAGTCGTGAAAATAACATTAGGGGAAACGGTGAGGAGAACAAATAAAAATGAAGACAATAAGATAAATAAGGAAAACGAAACGCATAATCAAGAGAAAGATTAAAGATAAAAAAATAAATGGCATAATTAAAACGAATACAACAAAAAATGACAGAAATAAAAACAGAGGCAAATATATAAAAAGTAAAATAATATAAAATAAAGGGGAAGAAAAAAAAATAAAAAGTAAAAAGGGGGAAATAAATAAAAAATAAAAATAAAAATGGAATAAATAATTAATGAATGAAACGAGAAATATATATATATTAAAGTATTAGAAAGGAAAAATATCAATAATAGGTAAAATGAGTATATATATATATATATATATATATACATACATAAATACATAAAATAAAATGTTAATAGAAATACAATTATAAGGTAAAATGAGTAAGGTTGGGAAATAATAATAAAAATACATATATAACATATAAAATTATAAGACGTAGTAGCTAGATAAAGAAATGACCAAAAAGTTAATTAAAAATAATATATATGTATTAATAATAGGTATATAGATGAAATATATAGAAAATACGTATATATATATAATTACATAATATGAAATAAATAAAAGGGTATAAATTAAATTGAATCAAAAACAAGTTGGGTGGCTAAATTGAAAGAAAATCAGAATTAAAGACCGATTTATAGTGAAATTGGGGTCAAAATGGAAGTTTCCGAAACGATGGGGACCAAAACAGAGTTCCCCCATTTTCGCGTGAAAACACGCGGATCTGTTAAGCAGTGGGTCGGGTCGGCTGGCTTCACGGGTCGCATATTTAAGCCAATGTTTTGGCTTTGTTTTCATTTCCTTCCTTCTCCAAACCGAACCCCTCTCTTCTTCTCTCCCTTTTCTCTGGCTTGTTCTTGAGTTTCAAGAACAGGCCACCGTGGTTCTTCAAGAACCTAGTATCCGACCACCGCATGTTGCCTCGTCGGCCACCGCGAACGGCACTGGCCGCGGTCATCGGCGGCGAAAATGAAAAAGCTTTTGTTTTTTCGAAAGGTCTTCCTGCGTAGGTTACAAAAATCCAACTAGTTTTTTTAAACGGGCCTCGGGGTCGCGTAGATCTAGCAAAATAGCTTCGAAAGCAACCCCCTTGGTCCTCGGCCAAAACGTTTTTTGTTGTTTAGAATCAAACCAGATTGAAGGAAATACATACATACAAAGTAAACAAGAAAGGTACGAAACTTTTACCCTTTATTTTGCTACGAAACGATTACAAAATGTCGATCTCTGAAGTTACTCTGCTTGTATTTCACTAATGAACCCTCGTAATGTTTGTATGTGCGGGCTGTGATGATCTCGTGTGTTCGTCCAGTGTAAAAAAAAAAGATCCCCTCTGAGTGTTTTAGTTACATGTATTTATACAAGCCTACTTTAGAGTTTTAATCCGAGTAAAACTCGGTTTGGTTGTTGAAGTCCTAAACTAACACGTTGCCTTGCTTGTTGTGGTGGTTGGCTTCGTATGCTTTCCTTGCGCCGGAGGAATCGGGAAGTTGGAGGCGTGGGGACTTCGGGGACAGTTGTAGCGTTGACCGACCAAAGCGGCGCTGGAATGGGATGAAAAGCTAGGGTTTCAAAACCCTAGCTGATTTGGTGTGGGTCGTTGGTCTACTGGGTCGAGACTGGGCTGCTGCACTGGGCCCGGGTTGCTGCAAATGGCTTGTAAATTGTCTTTTATTGGACCTGTACCCAAATAAATCAACAAACAATTATATGTATTATAATATGATAATATATATATATATAGCATAATATGGGTGGACGAATTTGAGTGTCTTCAGTATTCATGTAGACTCACTGAAAACCAGAGTACACTTTGGGTCGCTTATGATACGAATCATGGCTCTCACTATCTTCAATGGCAGTTGGAGCGGAGGCGCTACTCTCACCTATTCTTTTTATTTTTGGGTAAACTACACATTTAGTACATAAACTATCAATTTTAGTCTGCTTTAGTACCTAAACTTTTATTTTTTTTTCCAAAATTTAACGTTAAATTTTGAACAATAGTATTAAAATGAAACAAAAACTAAATTTTAGGTATGATTTTAAAAAATTGAAAGTTTAGGCACTAAAATAAACCAAAATTAATAGTTTATGTACTAAACGCATAATTTACCCTTGATTTATGAAATGACCCCATTTTAATTATGAGTAAATTATGCATTTAGTACATAAATTATCAATTTTGGACGGTTTCAGTATCTAAATTTTCAATTTTTTTCAAAATCATACCTAAAGTTTAATTTTTATTTCATTTTAGTATCTCACCGTTAAAAACTTTAGTATGTGCTTCATTTTAGTAACCTCATTCAAAATTTAACGTTACGTTTTGAAAAAATGGAAAGTTTAGGTACTAAAACGGACCAAAACTGATAGTTTGGTACTAAATGCATTAAATTTTAAACAGCGGGTACTAAATTGAAATAAAAACTAAACGTTATGTCTAATTTTGAATTTTTTTTGAAAATTTAGGTACTAAAACGGGCTAAAAATTAATAGTTTAGGTATTAAATGTGTAATTTGCCCTTAGCTATTTGGGTGTTAAATCATAAATGAAAAAGTGTCGTGACAATTATGTATATTGATATGAAATTTATATGTTACTTGTCTCATTCTTCTCTTTCGACTTAAGTTTTACAATTTTTTCTTTATGTTATATCGATGTTGCAATGATTATTTTTGGATATCTATTCCGATCACTCAACATATAAAAAAAACTCGTCTGATTGCCTCCTATAACTCTATCAATTTAAGATTTACCCATATCACTTCAAAACTCATATAATCCAATCATAAATCCTAAATTCACGAAACCTGGAAATATTTTGATTTATAATATCTATCATTCGACCAACACAGCATTAATATATACAATTTGCTTTCTCCCCCTCATTTTCTTTCTTTTCCTTTAATCATTGGGATTTAGAATAAGATACTCCATCGTCCATAAATCAAATGAAATTTAAAATTAATATTTTCACAAAAATAAAGAAAATAAAACTTTAAGAGTACAAAACTAAATAAGTAATATTATATATATATTTGAAAAACTTTTTTTATTATTAAATATTGAAAACTTTAAAAACAATCTTTTTACACGTCCATGCCCCGATTGTAATAAAAACATACAAAAAAATGACCTAGCATCAAGCAGTCGTTGTAGTATAGTGGTGAGTATACCCGCCGGTCACGCGGGTGACCCGGGTCCGATCCCCAGCAACGGCGTAATCCTTTTTCCCCTAAGCCCACATTTCTATGCCTAGCGTACGACGTCGTCAAACCATTATGAAATATGGAAAGCATTAATCTCATCATAAAAGGACTGGCGTCATTGATAAAACACATTCTCATCACCTTTCTGCTTATGCCTCAGCAATCGACAGCACCGGACGGATGCTACTCCGTCCGGTCATGTATTCTGCTGGTATCTTCCCTTTTGTTTTTCCTTTTTCCGAACTAAAGATGTGGATTGTATTTTAGGGGGAAACTGCAAAAATTCATTCATATATCATACATGATCTGTCAGGAACTGCATCATGGAATGGTGCACCGAACAGCCCGAATGTCGGCTGTCGTACGCCCATAACTCATTCGAGTCTAGTTGTTTATATCATTCGGATTTCATAAACTGCTGAGTTCCATTAACAAAGGACTCTTACTGCAGTTCGAATGAAAACTCTCGTACCGATGAGTTTCATCATGAGGTTCTCTCCTCGCCTCTTACATCACGAGGTTCATACCTGATTATCCTTAGCCCTGCATATGTAACAGCAAGAAGAACATTAGTAGATGAACAACTATCATATAGAGACATAAACAGTACGAACCGCACTATTCGACATAGGAAAATAACATTTCGCTTGTTAGATCATCGAATGAGGCCATTCCCCTTCGGGTTGGAGAAAGGTCGAATGTTCAAGCAAAACAGAACGAATCTACAGAGCGAAAGCAGGGAAAAAAAGATGCTTGGCTTGTTATTCCCATACTACCATTATGGGATAGGAAGAGCCTCTACCTTGCGATGCTTGGCTTTAAGCGTTCCATTGGAACCGAAGACACAACAAGTATTACAACTTATATCCGCAGCGCTCAGTATAGAACCACCAACTATTGTGATCTTCAGGCGACTAGCAACTTCAGACAACATAGCTGTCGAAGGAGAAGCATCCCCGCCTGCATCAATATCTTCGGCATATACAGGGAAGCCGTCGTTCGAATACGGGCTGTTCCATATTTCCTGATAGAAAATAACAGACAGGATCAACATACCTAAAAGTAAATGCTTTGATATTATCCCATTCATAATTTATGAATCTTGAATACAACACACAAAAAAAAAGAATCATAACTTTCTTTTTCAGCAAAAAAACTTCCAAGACACACCAATACCAGCCACTCAAATTCGATACAATGACAGCTTAATGTCCAGTAGGGTTGTAAATGAAACAACACATATCACGAGCTACTTGAATTCAACTCGGTCAATACTCAATTCCAATGAACTCAAGTCGAGCTTGAATTCGAGTTCTTAAAGAATCGAAGCAAACTACTTGATATCTGATTCGACAAGCTCGCGAGCAACTAAAAAGATAATATATTAAAATTTTATTTTAATGTACTTAAGGATAAGGTTCTGGTTCAAGCTCGAGTTTGAGCTTCAGTCGAGCTTAGCCAGAGAATGTTTCGAATTCAAGTTATTCGAGCATGAATTAAACTTCAATTTTCGATTTCGAATTCGAAAATTTTAAGCTCACAAACTTTTTAGTCGATTCGACTGTCTCATTTACATCCCTATGTCATACCTCCAGAGATAAACTTCAAATCTCCGGAAGAACACAATACCTCGAGAACTAATTGAAAAATCTAATCAGTCACCATCTCTTCATAAGACAATCAAGAAACTCAAGAAATTCCGACAAGACCTAAATCTATTAACAAGTAGCTACATTAAACCATTTTGCCGGCCTTATACATAATCATAATCATAGATATGACACCATCAAAAAACAAGAAATCAATACCTAAACTCATGTATATGTAGAAAGCGGCCTCTCAGATCTTTATTTTTCTTCATCAATTGTTTAACTTCTCTACATTTCAAAAATCAGCAAAGGGTGAAACCTTGGGATACTCACAGGCAAAAGAACAAGCTGGGCACCCTTTTGAGCAGCCTCCTCGAAGGCCTTCTTCCCATGCTTTATGTTCCTCTCTTTATCAGGCGTCACCGACAGCTGACAAAGTCCAATCTTGAACTACAACAACAACAAAAAAAAACAACCCGAAACAGATAACTTCAACAACAAACAATCAAATCAACAAGAAGACAAAAACACAAAGAAAACAAAGAGAAAAAAAAGATTGCCTTGGAGAGAGGAGGGGTGGGAAGAGGAAGGGCAGGGGGTTCGCTGGCTAGCTCAGACATGGAAGCCGATGCCATTACCGATGATGCTGGAGCTTTGGGTAAGTTTGATTGTACGGATTTCTGGTGTTTTTGGGGATATTTGAGATCAAGGATGTTGTTTGAGAAATGGGTTTTGATGAATGTTGAAGAAAGGTGTGTGAGATTGAAGAATTATTGGAGCTAAGTAGTGATGACACCGCTGACTTCATCTCTCACTGGAGTTTCTCTTTGGTTCTATTTTACAACGTTTTTTCTTCTTCGTTTTTGCCTTTCCTGTCGATACGAGGAGTTTTCAGTCAATTCCATTTTAAACGGCGTCGTGTTGTAATGGAGAAGAGATCAAATTGATTGCTCTAATTTTTACTATGTAAAGTTGTAAGCTTGAGGACATATTTTGACGACTTAGCATTTTTTTTAATATTTCGGTGATTAAGAAATTATTTATTTAAAAAATTAATTATTAATAACGTACATTATATAAATAATTATTTAAATTTAAGATTTTTAAAAAATAAAAATGTTAATAAAAGAGGACTTTGCTCTTTTTTTTTTCAAATTGGATCAAAAATCAGGGTGACGAACTCTTCTTCTCTCATCAAATGCTCTTAATTTTTGAAATTTTAATCTAAAACAACGTTAATTTATATTCTTTATCATTTGATTACCACAAATTTGAGTTATATTGATATTAGTGACATGTGACATCATTCGATTAGATGTTTAAATTTATTTTAATTTATTTAAAGTATGATTAAATTGAGAGAATATATAAATAATAGGGATCAAATGTATGATTATACCAAAATATTTAACTACCATGTCACCTAATATGTTAAATGTTAATGATAGTTAACCCGTACTGAATACATCTTAATTAAATAAAAATGAAAGCGACTATATATTATGTTTTTTGAAATCAATGAGGAAAAATGGATAAAACACAAACATAAATGATTAATCACATAATTAACCCTAAAAATTAAAATGAAACTTACTTTGTTTTTTTGGCTTAATAAAAAAATGAATGTATAAAATATACTTAAAAATTAATTTTTGGTGCCTAATGTTCTCTTCCTAAGAATCTGGATATGATACGTGTCGCTCAACTTTTTATAACGGTAGGCACTAAATAGTGAATAGAGAAAACATTAAGCATAATTTTACCGAAAAATTCTTTAGACGTAAAATTTTAATTTTAAATATAGTTTAGAATTTTATTATTATATTAAGCTTTTTTTCTGAAATGAAAATGGAACTTATGAATAATAACAGTAAAATGAACTGTTCTAAAGCTTATGAATCGCACAATTCTCTACCTTCCAATACATTCTTGAAAGTCTAAGGACACTTCCAGAATGTACGAAAATCTTCTCGAAAACTCTCTGCATTTCTTCTAGAAACCCCCTCCCCTAACCCATTTAAATACATAAACCCTATCCCCAAATCCCATACACACAAAAATCAAAATTTCCAAATATTCAACATTCGAAGCATCGATCTGTCACGGCATCATCTTCATCGAAGAAGAGAAGAATGGATTTCGGAATCATGGGTTACGATTCCCCGCTCCTCCACGCTCTGCACCACCACATGATGGGTCTCCACGAGGACGCCGACGTCGACAAGAACCCCAACGCCGCATCCCACGTTTACTTCCGCGACGCCAAGGCCATGGCGGCGACCCCGGCCGACATCAGGGAGGACCCCAAGTCTTACGTCTTCGTCGTCGACATGCCGGGGCTGAAATCAGGGGACATCAAGGTACAGGTGGAGGCCGACAACGTTCTGTTGATCAGCGGAGAACGGAAGCCGGAGGAAGAGAAGGAGGGGGCCAAGTTCGTGAGAATGGAGAGGAGGGTGGGCAAGTTTATGAGGAAGTTCGTGTTGCCGGAGAATGCCAACACGGATGCGATCTCGGCGGTGTGTCAAGACGGGGTTCTGACGGTCACCGTGGAAAAACTGCCGCCGCCGGAGCCTAAGAAACCGAAGACCATTGAGGTGAAGATATGTTAAGGGACACTGTCGTGGTCTAAATAATCTGTTTACTGAATTGTGTTCTTTTTGCCTTTCCAGTTTTATGATCCGAGCTAATTACTTCCATGCTTGAATCTCGTGTTTGTTGGGAAATCATGATAATAAACATGTTCTATGGAAGTTTAATTAAGTACACAAATGATTAAATAATTGGAAAAATTACACAAATGATCCTTTCCAAAATTTTTATTATTAAAATATATAAGATAAATACATATTTAGACTTTTAAATTTTGATTTATTTTGATTTTATTCTTATTAATTTTATTAGTAATTATACTTTACTCCGTTTAAACTATAATCCTGATTTCGTTTCTCGTAGGTCAACTTTCTTTCGGGCATCAATCCCCCTTGGGAGGGGTGGACTTAAATGTGAAAAGAATTATCTTAGGTAGTACTGTTTGTCTGATTATGAAAAGTGGGGTGTTAGAGGTCGTCCCCAAAATAGTACCATGTTTTACCCGTAAAATGTTCTTATCGTATGGCGTGAAAGTCGCCAATGTCCTACGACTTCACTTGTGGCATCGTAATGGATTTTCAGATTTGGTCATATCACGAGAAGGAGATGGTCAGATTAAGTCGGTTTTCAATTGATTTGATCCCATTTAAAGATTATATACCCTCTTTTCAATTTAAAGATGAACCAAAAATTACACTTTTCGTCGTATTTGAACTTAATCTATTATTTTGGGATAAAATATAAATTTGATTTAACTCGATATGAAGTAATTTATAAGAAATATTACTTTTATTTAATAAAAAATTAAGATTTAATTAGAAGAAATATATGGAGAGAAGTTCTATTTCAATTATCCGTAAAATTTATTTTTTCGAATCGGGTTAAGTTGAATATTTTTACCCTAAATCCAAATCTAATCCAATCAAATGATCTCTAAAAATTGACAGATCCAACCCTAAACTAATTCATTTTAAAAAAAATCTAATTCGATAGTGTTGGATTAGATCAAAATCCATTGAATTCGAATTACATGATCATCCCTAATCATTATATTATTGTGGATAAATTACACGTTAAAATATTGAACTTTCAATTTATTTCGAAATCATACTAAAAATTGTTTTTACTTCATTTAGTACTCTGTTCAAAATTTAACGATTAATATTGAAAAAGAATTGAAAATTTGGTTACTAAAACATACTAAAATTGATAGTTTAGGTACTAAATATGTTAAATTTTTAACGCGGAAACAAAAACTGAAAAACATTAGGTATGATTTTAAAAAAAATTAAAAGTTTAAGCAATAATACGAACTAAAACTGATAGTTTAGACACTAAATACATTGTTTACCCTATTGTTATTCATAATTTGAACTTGTTATTATTACACAATTACCATCTCATTACAACATTTGCATAAAACAGTCAAAAATCAATTGCAATTTGCACATTGAAAAGAATGGTTGTGTTTTATTTCATTCATACTTCATTTCATGGTTAAAGAACTATATGACCTAAAGGAATACAAATACCTTCTATAAGTGGTAGTAGTAATAACTACATTACTAAAAACAAATGAATTCCTAATATATATATATATATATATATAAATTGCAGGAACCGAGATATCGGTGGTAAAGGAATTAAGAGTGTTCTTTGAATAGATACTAATTACCGGCGTTAATAAAATATACTTATAGAGCTACAGAAAAGAAGTACCTGCAAAACGATGATGCAAAAGATTATGAGCAATGGAATCTCTAGCATTCGATGAACTCACCGATTTTATACCATCTTCCGGCACGGTTTCGTCGTCGAAAACCTCGATTTCCAACTCCGGTTCGATCCCTTCCTTCTTCATTTCGCAGATGTTATGGAGAACACAGCAGGCTCCGAGCACGACAGGCAAATCCTGCAACTTCACCTCTGTTCTCTTCTGCAAACATCTCCATCTCCCTTTCAATCTTCCGAAAGCTTTTCTGGAAACCCTTTGGATTTCACCGATCTTTTCGTTGAAAGCGTGCTGTGTCCATGTCAGATTTTGTTGCTTGTAAGGGACTAGAACCCAGTCCATTAATGGATAACCGGAGCCTCCGACGATCCAGACGCCGTCCAACAAACCACCGTTTTTTGCCTTCTGGAACAACGCTGATTTCTCCAGGACCTGCTCGTCGGTCATCGAACCGGGCCAGCCGATGCACACGTCGGTGAAGACGCCGTTGGGGTCGACGACGCCCTGTACGGTGATCGAATACGACGTCTTCTGGTTGCGATCCGTGTGTCTCTTGTTGAAATACGCCGCCACGCTGATCTTCGGCGCGATGATCGGAATGTGCGTCGTGTACATCGATCCGACGACGTTCGGTATCCCGGACGTGGTCTCGTACTCCTGTTTGATCCCCCGCAATCCGTCGTCGTTCGGCCACTGTAGATACTTGGGCATCAGGACGTTGCGTATCGCCGCACAGACTTCGAGGACGAGTTTGTGACACGTGGAGATGCCTAAGCCGAACCGTTTCGAGACGAGCCGGAGCGGCTCGCCGGTCGCCAACCGCCAGATGCAGACCGCAACCCGCTGCTTGACGGGGATGGCGTTCCGCAACGTCGTGTCCTCCTTGGCGACGACGGCGTTCAGCTCCTCGCAGATGAGCTCGAAAGTCGACCGGCTCATCCTGAACGCCTTCTTGAACTCCGATTCAGGGTAATCGGGCCGGCTGCACTCGTCCCACCACGCGTTCGACCTGTCCTTCACCCATAACCGCCTCTGTTGTCCCTGTCCGCTGGCGGCGGCCTCCCTGACGAGGGATTTCCTCCGCTTTACACGGTCGGTGCCTTCGATCTCGGAGCAATAATCTTGCGAATCGGACTGTAATTCAAGCACGGTTCGGGTCTTCTTCTTACGAGTCGACTCAGTAACCGATTTCTCTTCGTGGGATTCATCGTTCTGCTCGACGATACAATTCAAGTCTTGCTTCTTGGTTTCACGATCACTGCAACAGCTCTCCTCGTCGTTCTGATTGGAAAATCCCTCCTCCATTCGCCGATTGCAATTGTCGCCGGTATTCATTTCAGAGGAAAACGAATTCCGAATAGCAGAGAAAAATTGGGTTTTTTTGGGCGGATAGAGCTGAGACTACCATAGATTTGGAGAGATTAAAAACGATAAAGGCTGAGATTTAAGGAGCCGAAACTATAAAGGAATTTGGGTATAAACAGAATTAGGGTTTGAAAAAGTGAAGAAAGAAAGGTGTGAACACAACCAGATTCACCTCTGACATTTTACACAATGATTGTGTCTCGATGCATTTCTATACGGGTGAAATAACGTTATAGCAAGGCCGACGACTAAAAACTATTATATTTATTAAAAAAATCTATTTTTCAAATATCTCAAAAAAGTCCCAAAGTCCCTTAAAATATCAAATCTCATACCCTAAGCCTAACCTCTCTTGCCGACCATGATCGTTGATGCCATTCTTACCATCTCCCTAGTCGACCGTCGTTTTCTTTGTAATCGTGCGTGTCGTTGGATCATTTGGGTGTCGAGAATTTGAGGTTTGAATTCACGAGAGATGTAGTTTTAGGTCGTGATTATGTCGTTTCTTTTGTCGGAGACATGACATTTATAATCAGTTTTGACTTGTCGTAAGGTGAAAGTTCTACTAGAGGTCCGATTGATGTCAAATGATAACGATTGACGTGGGTTTAGGGATTGAAATTGAAATTTTCAAAAGTTTTTGGTGTTTTTTAGTTTTTTCAAAAAAATAAAAAAACATAATTTTATTTTGTTTTTTAAAATGTTTTTTTTAAATTATCAGAATATGAAACGTGTCACATAACGATAGAATTTAACAGTTGTTACGGCTCGGACACCTAAAATAGTAAAGTTATAGGGTGAAAATACATTTAGGGGCTGTTTGTTTGCCTCTTAATGGAACCATTCAGCGCTGAATGTTGAACCGTTCAACATTCAACACATTTGTTTCGCACCTCATAATGATTCAGTGCTTTATTCAACAAAACAGTGCCGAATTATTCAACACAGAAGTACATTTTGAATGATTCAGAGCAATTATCAAACAACAAGAGCTAATTCATACAGAGCATTTGAATCATTCAGCGCTTAATCATTCTGAAGTAAACAAACAGCCCCTTAGTACCCAAACTATCCGTTTTAGTACCTAAACTTTTAATTTAAAAAAAAATCATAGCTAATGTTTAGTTTTTTATTCATTTTAGCACCCGTAGTTAAAAACTTAACGCATTTAATACCTAAACTATCAGTTTTTGTCCATTCTAGTACCTTAAATTTTATTTTTTTCAAAACTTAATGTCAAATTTTGAATAGGGGAACTAAAATGAAACAAAACTTAAACTTTATGCATGGTTTTAAAAAATTGAAAGTCTATGTACTAAAACAGATCAAAACTGATAGTTTATGTACTAAACGTATAAATTACCCAAAAATTATATTATGCATGAAGCAAACTACCTCAGTGGTTGAAAATACGATTGTTATCTCTAAGGTCTCGAGTTCAAGTACTAGCAACTGCAAGATATTTAAGCATTTTTTATCAAATGATTGAGAATCTTTAGAATATATATTACTACTTTATAATCACCTTAACTTAATAAAAAGGTAAATTACACAAATGGTCCATTGACTATAAGATATTGCTTTACCGAGTCTCTCAAGTATTAAAAGTTACAAAATGATCCTTTGACTATAAAGAGTTGCTTTGTTAAATCCCTTGACTATTGAAAGTTATAAATGGTCACCCGACTATTAATTATATTCCAAACTCATCCTTTTTCGTTAAAAATTGACGACAATGTGAGTTGTACGTTAATTTGTTGACTATGATATAATAAAATTTGATCTCATAATCTCAAATGACTACCATATCTCGGTCAATATGTTGACGTCCAACTCAGGTGACTGTTAACTTTTTAACAGAAAACGATGAGTTTGGAACATAATGAATAGTAAGTGATCATTTTATAATTTTTAATAATCGTGAGTCTCAACAAAACAACTCCCTTAAATAATCATTTTGCAACTGTTAATAGTCAATGAGTTCAATAAAATTATATCTTATACTCGAGGATCATTTGTGTAGTTTACCCTAAAAAAATTACATCATGTAACCGAAAGCTAACATTAATTTACAAATACAGAAAGACAGTCGAACGTTACAACTTATGACGGTTTTGAAGTATTCTCTGTGTTTCTTAGATGGGGAGGCGGTGACTGGTCGCGGTCGGTGAGGGACGGTTCGTGGACTTGCTTTTGGCGTTGCGTCTCGGTTTTTGCGTTTTGTTTTCATTGGCGCATAATAATTTTATTTTTCATGGTAACTACGTAGCGGCTAAGTTGATTTTTAACTAACTTATTTACTCTCATATTCATTTTATAATTAATTTATTATATATATATATATATATATATAATAAAGACATCAACCTTTACTTAACGGATCTCATATAGAGATGTGCATGGGTCGAGTTTTTTGTCAATCTGATCAGACAAAAAATATATACATTTTACCCGAAATTTGACTCGATCTGAGTTTAGGATGACTTCACCCTACCCAACCTTTTGAGATAAAACTTAAACCCGAATATAAATAAATATATTTATAAAAACATTATTTTTATTCAATAAAAATGTGAATCTAATTAAAAATATATAGAGGATTATTATTATAATTATCTTTAAATATATAAGGTAAATTTACATTATTTCTGATCGGATAAGATATTTTGACTCTAAACCCGAATCCAACCTAACTCAAACCTATTTTTTAATAAAATCCGACCAAACCAAATCGAATCGAATCAAAACCCGTCGAATTCGGGTACGTACCCATCCCTAATCTCATAAACAATCACAATGATAGAAAAGGTATGAAAATTGTGGTTAAAGGAAGGGGGTCCATTGGCAGTGATTCAGCCAAAAGCATGCTAAGCTATAGATGCTTTGCTTGCTGATACTCATATTGACCCACTTTCTAAAAGATGGATTCCTTGCCAAGATTTTGATGCCATCTTTTAATGTCAAAATTTGTGGAAATTTATGTCTTTTTGTCCACCTGCTTTTCATTTCATCTTTCTCATTTAACTTTGCCTTTTTCAAATATCATTGTTTTAGGTAGAGTTATGGGTTTAGTTCTTTTATTATGTTCAAAATCAGAATTTAGTCGATATATTTTAATTTGACATAATTTGATCATTTAATTTTATAGATCCATTAGTTAAGTTCAAGTGGCTAACATTGTCGATTATTTCAGTTAAAATATTGGCGGTTGTTCGGTTTAAGGCACAAGATTTATTTAACGTTTACGAACTAACTTGTAATCCCACCTACCAAATTACGTAGACTTAGGGACGGACGCATGGTTTTATGCCAAGGAGGGCGAGCATGAACTTATAAAATTTCAGGGAGAGCGAACTTCAACTTATAAGATTCTAGAGGAGCGAAAACATATTTTCAAAAGAAAATACAAAAAAAGAATTTAAAATATATGATAATTTTAAATTTTCAGGGGAAGTAACCGACCCCAAATTTCATAATAATAAAGAGGCTTGAATCAGGAATTGACCCTAAAATACTATTTTTATTTCGATTAATCTAGGGTATGTAGAGGGCAGTATATGTTCAAATATAACTCTCAACCATTTGACATTGAACGCTCACACCCCTGACATTCCCTGGAGCTAATTCAGAGACAAACGCAGTGTGTACATTGAAATTTCAATGCAGTTTTAAAGGAATGAGAGCTCGACATTGCTTAATTAACGGTGCAATTGACCTGATTTTGTCACAAATTCAACATTTTCTGCTGCTTCTTTTGGCTGTCATTTGCCTGTTTTTGAATAAAATAAAGCAAGCAAAAGTCCAAATCTAGAAGAGCCCTCCATGTGTTTGTTTCATTTCCCCTAAGGCCTTTTTGTTCAATAAAGTTCAAGTGTGAAAGCATGAAAGTCCAAAAGGGGTCAAAATTGAAGTTCCGAAACTTTGCGGGATCGGATTGTTTATTCCAGTCCAATAGACCTTGGTCATGGACTGAGTTGGGTCATGACCCACTTCTATTTCATTTTTTGGTCTTGGTCATGGGTCAAGTCGAGCTAAATTTTTTATCCACTTAAATCTGACACGACTATAACGTCTCCTCCATCCATCATCTGACTCGAATTTAAAGAAACCCTATCATATCAAAAAAAATCACTCAAATTTTAAGATAAAAATTCACACCCGATCCAATCCAACACAAGTATATATATATTTACACTGTAAAACTCTTTTAGTTTTAAACTTTTTTAGGACAGTTAAATCGAGAGAAATTAAAGGCTGATATTAACTCCTTGTTTTTTTCCAGTAAATATCTTTTCATTTTCTACTGTTAATTGCAGCCTTTAATTTCTCTCATCCAATGATTCTAAAATGGTATAAAACTAAAAGAGTTTTACACAGTACAATTAGATCATGCTCCATATATTTATTATTTTTATTAATGAAATAAGGATCTAATTGAAAATATAGAAAGAGGAGGACAAAATTGACGAGATAATGTGTTGGGAAAAAATTCACGAGATAATGCAGTGTTAGGATTAATTGTTGGGATATGGTGATTTTTACAATGCAAACGTAGGTCTCCAGGTGCTCAGGGTGACCAAAGAGGTCGTCATGCCGTCCCCGCAATCTGTGGTGAGATGGTGTAGGTCGCCATGCACGACCAGCGTCTTCCTGAAGCTGTGCATGGCCCATGCACGTTGATCGCCCATCCCACAATGAAGATCGCCATATATTTTCACCTTAAATCTAAACCGACGTAACTCGATTTTATCTTTCGGAACAAAAGACAAAATAACTTATTACCGAGACAAATGGAGCATGCAAAAGTTAAGGTTCAGGACACATAGTTTGTTGTTGAAAACATGATTGACTCATTAATGATGATAATCATAGATACAATAAATTAAAATATTAGAGACAAAAAAAATCTAAACTCAAATATTTCTCCAACTCATTCAAGTAATTGTTTCATACATTATTTTTTTGGGCTTAAAGTAAAAATGAGTACTCAAGCTATGCATTTTTTATTCCAAGTAACTAAAATATTTTTTTGTCAAATCAAACCCTTAAACTATTATATTTAATTATTTTAAGTCCTTTCATTTTTTAGTTAGAGAAATATTTTCAACCAATAAGATGGTGACGGTCATATAAAAGTAGGTATTTATTTTGATAAAAATAGTTTAACGGCTTAAAGCAAAAGAGAGTCATAGTTTAAGGAGTTATTTTGACCAA